CCTGAATGGGCCCGGATGGGGTGGTCGTAGTGGACTTTTTTGTAGCCTCATCGATTATCTATCCAACCATGCATATAGTTTTGAAAGTTTGTACCACACTTTTCTAGTGTAAAAATGTCAAAAAGTGCCATTTTTCATTTTTTTCAATATTTGGGTCACCCTAACTTTTCATCAGGTGGGGAAGGTCACCCTAATTTTTTGGCTTTGCGAGTTTTTGGCCATAAGAAGTTTATACACCAAGTTTGAGCGAAATCGGAGAGGTCACTTGCAATTTTTGTCCCACTTGGTGTGGAATGGTCGTGTATCTTTAATAAAATTTGCGACCTTTGGGTCGTTTCGTTTTGTGGCATAGAAACGTGTGGACAATGTTTAACTGATTCAGCATTGCCATTTAATGGCAATAACATTGTAATTCTTACAAAAATCGCTTGACTATAGTCAATTGTTTATGTATGAAAATAAGAAAAACTAGAAAGCGTCAACAGATTATGAATTGGACACAAAATATAAATTGTATATACAGGCAAAATGAAAAAAAAACAACAAAACTGCCAATACTATTATTTTGATTCAGAACTATTTGGAAGTTCAGGCCATTTGCTTTGCAGAATTTTTTTTTTTCAGAAATCAACTCTTACGGACTTGTGTGTATGAGTTTTCGGATTTACAATGCGCATCACGAGCGTAAACACAAAATCGTTTTGCATGAATGAAAATTGTCTACATTCAAGAGAACGAGCGCACAACGTCATCCCTGGAGGTATTTAATGCAGTATTGAAACGCTCGATCACACAACGATTCAACTTTTTCAAGTTTGTAGTGCGGCTTAAATTTCACGAGTGCAGAAAGGCCGGAAGAATGCACAATTTGTTAACCGACAACTTGACAGAGCCTCACTATCAACGCCGCAAGAAGAATGACCAAGAACGCGAAGCTAAAATTCGAGAAGTCAGTGCCTTGCTTAAAGAAGGCAAAATAAACATCAAGAAATTTTTACAAATGATGGCTACTGAAGATGAAAGTATGCATAATTGAAACCGATGATTTTACATGTAAAATCCTCAATTGGTATAAATCTGATAAGAAATCTATTTTCAGTTGAAATCAGTGACTACTCCGATTTTTCTGACGACGAAAAAGAAGAAGATTCTGACGAAGAATATGAAGAAGAAGGAGAAATACAGGACTATTGATCCAGACACTGAAATGGCATGAAAAACTTTTTTTTTGAATTCAAAATGTACGAGAATTCAGGCAAAGACTTTTTTGTTTCTTCAATTCAAACCCTTTGAGTGGATTTTTTTTTTGTACGTTTAGGAAGAATCCATTCAGATGGTTTCAATTTATGCTCATTTTTTTATTATGAATAAAAAAACACTCTTTGTTTTAATTTCAAAAAATTCCATTGGTTTTTAATCAAAATGATTTGTAATTGGAGCATTTTTGACTGAATCAGTCGGTCGCACAAGAATTTCCGAACTGCTTCCAGAGTCAGGAGATGATTGGAATCACATTGTATTCAGCTCAATTGAGACTAAAAAGATTCGATTCACAGCAGCGATGTATGGATTCGCTAGAACAACACTGCGTGTGTGACTCTTACATTAGTGTGTTCGTGTTGTGTGAGTGAGAGAAAATGCTTGTGTTCACACGTTTTGCTTTGTTTATGTTGCTTGCATACATTCTTGTAACACAGTAAATTTCGTGAAAGATTCTTTTCAAAGAAACTCATCTGAGAGTCTCAGAAGAGTTGAATCTTTTGGGTCTCAATTGAGCGGAGCACAGTTTGTATTTCATTGCGCATTAGCTCATCATGACTCATTATGTTTCTTTTAAAAGAATGTATTGAAATCGATTGATTTGGTTATCAAGCATTTCTTGCTGTAAAGATATCACTGATATCTGATATCAGTTTCATTTGCTGACCACAGAAAATACACAGATTATGCAATGTGAACAAAGTGCGTTGTAAATATGTTCATGTGGAGAATAATAAAAATCATCATCACATTTACTTAAGTTTTTCCACTCCAGCCTTCTCTTGTTTTGATGTATTCGGATCGAATCACCTCGTGGGCTACATGCAAAGAGTGAAATACATTTTCATCATTTCAATGCAGTGTGTCGCTTTCGCGTCCATAAATTATTAAAATAAAAAAGTGTCACTATGAATCATGTGATTAGTTTTTTATCTTTCTTCAGTAGCTATTACGAATGGCTATTTTTACATGGAGCCATTGAGTTATTCACTACAGCTGGAGAAATTAGTTCTGTTCGTCACCAATCCGACTGAAAGGAAAAAATAGTAAGTAATATTTTCGATGATTGAAAATGGCCTTGTCTTTGCCCGAACTGTGTTTGGCACAAATAGACATATCGCAAGCGAATTTAACTAGTTGACTTTTGGTAGCATCAATTCCAGTCATTCTGATTACCTCTTTGCTTCAATTACTTTCTATTTCATCCGTTCATTAAGCACACCGAGACCAAGGGTGAACATTTGCCAATCGAAGTGCAAAAAAATTGCGTGACTCAAGCAAATGGATCAGAGTGTTTTTTCTTCTTCTGTTCTTCATTCACACCCAACCGATGAAATGAGGGAGAAATGATTTAGTTTTTTTGTTTCCAATCGATGCGCGTCATGGCAACCAATTAAATTATGAATCACCTAAACCGAAATAGAGTCATTTGCTTCAGAAAAATGATAGATAATACATCTCTCTGGTCTTATGTGCTCGCGTCCATTTCTCTGATTCGTATTTGAGTTCCATGGAAAAATAAAAAACAGAGTGAATGAAAATTCAGTTTTCGTGTATTTCATTCAAAACATTTGAATGATTTACGCTTCAATCAAGTGTTTGCTTGCTTATGTTCAACAAAATATCGGAGTTTCTACTCTATGTTTTTATTCAGAATGATTGGAGCATTGAAATGTAATTTGTGACCGAATGGATCCAGATGTGTGTAAGATTTTTCTGACGCGCTTCATCAATGAAGAAACAAAACCACCGGGAAATTAAGAAACCGACGTGTAGAGAAATCTTTGCTCGTTGCGTTCTTTTCTTTTCGTATAATTTACTCGAACCCCTCTTTTCATATCGTTTTATTTTACTTTTTTTCTTCAAATGAAAACAAGACATTTCAGAAATATTAATTATTATCATCCGCATTTATTGTGTTAAATTTCATCAAATGTCCTCCGTCCGTCTGTCCAATATGTAAATTGGATTTGGTCCGTCCGTTTGTAGGTCCGTCCGTTCGATGTATGTGTCCGTTTGTCTGTTTGATTTTGGAATTGGTCCGTCCGTTTGTAGGTCCGTCCATTCGATGTATGTGTCCGTCCGACGGACAAAATTGGGGGAGAAAAGTCACCTACCCTTTTTTCCGTTTTGATTTTTATTTTGTTTCATTTTGAATTCTTTCCATGAAATTATGGGATGTATATGATTTATTCTTATTTTATCTGTGATCTGTCATTCATCTTATATTTTTAAATGCCAATTAGGTTATATTCGTTTTGTTGTCAAAGTTTCTAGAATGTCCTCATTGGATCAATATTTTTTTATTTAATTGATAATGAAAAGTCACAATGTTTTTTTTTTCAAACTAATTTAGCAAAAAAATACTTTTTGTAGCTTCTCAAAGGGCTTCTGACAAGCTGGACAAACTTTAACAGCAAAAGCACATTTAACACAAATGATTATATGCCCACATGGTATGAAGACACAATTGCAATCAATGTCGAAGCAGATTTTGCATGGCCTTGGTTGCTCTGGCTCGTCACAATCGGTTGTTGGCGATGTAGACAACGCTGCGCTGGTCGATACTGTGCTGCTCGGTGCGGCACTGAATGGCAAATTTTGACCATTTTCTTCGGCTATGCGCCTGGCTGCAAGTGTTGCCACCACCTCGTCGTGATATGACTCGCCTTTGATGAGGACCACATAATCGCAGTCACCGTAATAAAGAGATTGCTGCTCTCATGGGTCATCATCCTTCTCCCACTTGCTGAGCCCACCTCCGCAGGAAAAACAAATGACCTTGTCAGAATAACCGGTATAATAAAAACCAGCTTCAACCATTCGCTCTGCCGTTTGCTTCAAACCTATTGGCCATTCTTCAAACGATCGTCGCCGCGATGATTCGGTCGCGTATTTTCTAACTACCGTATATTGTTGCGAGAAGCTGACTTCGTCGTAGCCTTCCATTTTTTTTAAAAGATATTTTTCAATCCATCGAATTGAGAAGAAAAAAACACCTAAGTCACTTGTCAACACTTGACTTGCACTTAGTAACGTCTAATTAAATGTAGTTGCAGTAAATCTTATCAGTTTAGTTTTTTTTCACTCTTCTCTTTTTTTTCCAGTAGACCAATTCTTTATTATTTGCTTTTTCGCTGTATTTTTTTCACTACTTTATGGAATTTTTTTTATTTACTCACTTCAACAATATAAACAATGCACACAATGAGTTTTGGCCGCACACTAGGGTTCAATGGTACAAAACAGTTTGAAAACTCTTCCAAATGTTGTGCATTGATATGCATAAAATAAGTATCCAGCAAGCGTGCGATCCAGTTAGAACCGTTTACGCAGATTGATGCGGTGCGTAGGGTCACATTGAGTGTATTTTTTGATTTTCTTTTGTTCTGTGGCTTATATTGCATATTTAGTTGAGTTCATTGACTTCATGGTGCGTTGTCTCAGTCCTATTTTTCATCAAATTGAATTTTTTTATTGTTATTGCGCTACCGCGCACCAAGCAATATTTTTCTTCGCTAGGCAAATCGCACGATGATAACGAATGGGCGAACAATTGTAGAGCGCCGCTACAGAGTGATGACAACACTTAGTTCAAATTTGTTCGCGCTCAAATTCACTCCGTCATATTCATTCTTGTTTTGATGTCGAAACAGTGAAAAAAATAATAAAAAAATAAAAAAAATAAATTTGAAATAAAATAAAATAAAATTTAAATTAAATCCGCACATATTTTACATGTTTTGCTGTTTGTCGTATGATTTCGCAATAATCCATAATGGTGACGAAATATTATGAAATATTGCGAAATCATATGACAAACAACAAAACATGTAAAATATGTGCGGATTTAATTTAAATTGTATTTTATTTTATTTTATTTCAAATTTATTTTTTTATTATTTTTTTCACTGTTTCGACATCAAAACAAGAATGAATATGACGGAGTGAATTTGAGCGCGAACAAATTTGAATTTTTTTCTTTCGCATTCTGCCGTTCTCCAGTAGTGGCGCTCTACTATTTCACACTCCATGTTTTACATAGAAAAATTGACAGAATATTGCCGGGTGAGGCAAATACCCGAAAAATCAAAATTAGTTATGGGTTGTTCCGACACATTTGCGAACGATGACTTGTGAAGTATGACTCATGTTTCTTATAAGCAAAGTATGTGAATGCGCGTGCAGACTGCACATGCATGCATAACAGCACTTGAACCGTGCGCAATAAAAAATATATACTAATTTTATTGAAACAAATAACCGCGTGCGGTCAGCTGAGGGATAAATCTAATATGGTCAGACAAATTCTAAATTGGCCAGATGAATTTCTAAAATGAGCAGACAAAATATTGAGGCATAAATTTGAGGCGACAAAAATTCAAAAATGAGCAGAAATATATGGTATCGTTTTTTTCTAAAATTGGCAGATATTTTGTTCCAAAACGGACAGATATTTTTCTAAAAATAGCCGACAAAATAATTCCAAAATGGGCCGAAATGTTCCATTTTGGGCCGAAGTTTTTCTAGTTTAGGCAGATACCTGTCGATTTTGATAAGAAATCTTTCAAGTAAAAGCAGATAAATATTTCAAATATGGTCCGATGTTTTTTCACTTTGAGCCGACAATTTTCTCAATTAATCAGATATTGATTTTGATAGGAAATTTTCGTTATCATTGGCTATTTATATACTTACATTGCAATTCAAATTACCTCTTTTCAATTCCTCTGAAAACATTCTCATTTGGGAGTGAAGATGTGAAGTGACAAACTCCAAATGCAGCACTTTCGTTGCCGTTTTTGGAAATGGTTCTATCATAACCCATTAGTCTTCTTTTGACTGCCTCTAATTTTCATCTTAAGATCACCAAGCCAAATCATTTTATTCAAGTGTAAAGAATGATTTTAAATCAAAAATAAGAATTAAGAAAACTTAATCCAAAAAGCACTTACTCAAAAAATTAAACTCATCAACGACGAAATAAAAAAAAGTGCAAATCGCGTGTTGTGAACTCATACCGTGTGCGCCTCAATTCACACGGCAGCGAAATATTAAGCATTTCAAGTGACGAAGATAACTTTAATCGCGCCAATGATTTCGATACAATAACTATTTCGAGCGATGATGATACATCTACGTATTTTGAATACGTGCGTTTCTACGATACATTGCCCGAGTTGATGGAATCGCCACCAATGAACAATAACGTGCATTGGGGCTGGACTAGTGAGGACGAAGACGACGAACAAGATCAGTTGCTCATCAGTGTCAACACGGTGTATGGTGATATGTACAATCCATACACTAATTACGTGGACAACGGTGGATACATCGGCGGCCCGGTCATCAGTGTCAACACCATGCGCGGTGGTATGTACGATTCATACACTAATGACGTGGACAACGCCGGATATGACAGCGAGCTGTTTATCAAGAACCAATATGTGAATTATGTGGTTAACGACGAATTTTATGAAGACGAATTTTATGGTCCGACTTACGAAGACCCTAATAATTATTTTTTTGACAACGGTGAATTGGCATGGTTGAACAATACTGTCTATTGACATAATTTTGAATTAACTGGAATCGAACAATAATGAA